CCCCCTGTACACTTTCTGTTTAGTATCCCGTTTTCCACATCTTCCGCCTTTGAGTTGATGATTTCACTCATTAGCCTCTAACTTCCCAGAATGCTATGCAGTAGAGAACAGAATAATAGTGTTATGGGTGCTTCATTCACGTGAGCAAGGCAGTGTTTGCTGATGAATGAGAGTTCAGTGTTTATAAAACTATAATATAATAAAAAAGGAGTCATCAAACAAAAACAAGTATGTGTGCTGACCAAAGTAGGAGCACTGCTACCAGAGTCTCATAGGTACTTAAGCCTGCATTTCCTCAAGGAACAATTGTTACCCATAAACTAATCTGAGGGATAAGAACCTTGAATAAGAATAGTCTCACGAATCAACTCCCTGCTGGTAATCCCAGCACTCAGGAAACTGAGGTGGGAGGATCTGTGTGGCTAGATTCTACACATTAAGACTGCTTTGGGGAAAGAAAAAGAAAGAAAAAGGGGGGAGGGAGGGAGAGAGTTAGTTGGAGGGAGGGAAGAGGGAGCGGGGAGGGAGCAAGGAAGAGAGCAAGTTAGTTGGAGGGATGAGGGAGGGGGAAGGAAGGAAGGGAATTAATTAACTCAGCTCTGATGGTATGCAGCTGTCTCTATTACAAAAGAATGTTCCTAAGGAATCACCTAGCTTTCTTTCTCGTTATTCATGCCAATCCTTTCTACCTCGCCACCCCAACAGGTAAGCCTGCAGTGCTCAGGACCCCAGCTTTACCCCTTCTTCCGCTCCAAGGGAGGGCTGCTCCTTGGAGTAAAGCCCCAAATGCTCAGGTATCAGGACCCTATCAGTTCTTTTGGCCTCTTGGGACAGGAGAGCAGAAAGACATAACTGTTAATCAGTCACAGGTAAACAAATTCTCACACATTCTTGGTGAGATTTAAGAACTGACAAACTCAAAGAAATTGAGTTAAAGCTAAAATAGCCTCAGCAGGAAGAGGAGCTGGAGGAACCCTGGCGGCACTGACTTGCCCTGTCACCCAAGGTCATAGACAAGGACATCCATACATTTTGATCTGTAGCTCCAGGTTGATTCTTACAGATCTGTGTAAAGTAGAAATGAGACAAGCCAAGAAAGGCTGTTCATTCAACGATGATTTGGAGTTGGGGTTGGAGGAGCAGAGTCTCACTATGCAGAGTCAGGCTTCAAATTCACTGTCCTCCTACCTTATGGAAACTGATGCTCATTCAGTTGCTATCAGTATGCAAACAAACAGTTGAAATGAACAGAAGCAGTTCCATGGGACAAATATCAGTCAACGAAGAACCATCCACATTCCAGAACCAGGTTCCTCTTTGCCTTCAGTGATTTGTTGCCAATGCCCTGTCTTAGTCACTAACAGCCAAGGCAATGTTCCTACTATTGCTGCCACCATATAAAGCCTGTGACCCCATGGTCTGGTCTGCTGCTGGTTTTTTTTTTTCTATCCCCTCTCAAAGGCCCCAATGAATCTCTTGCATGAGGTCTGTTGCTGGTGTGATTTTTGTGGCATTCCTCGGCCCAGATGACTAAGATACACTTTCACCACAAAACCCTTTCAACAAAACACAGTGGTAAAATAGTTAATGTGTACATATGTCACAGAAGCATGAGTAACATTTACATGTAAAGAAGAAAAATATCTATATATAATTTGATGTGCAGAGAAAGTATCCAGAAGCAAGAAGTAACTGTCAGGGCGCTCTCTAGACTTTAGTAAGAGGCAGATGGGTCAGAGATCAGTACTCTTAGACTCTGAAATTTTAACAAAGAGCACACAGAGTTTTACAATTAAAAATCTACACTAAGCAAAATAAACCCCTAAAAGACAGGAGTTGAGGCTGGGTATGTAGCTTGTGTGTGAAGCAATGTGTGAAACTCCAGGTTCCCTCTTCAGTACCACAAAGAAGTAAAGACAGGAGTTAAATCGCCACCAGCCCCCAAGCTCTTTCACACACAAATATCTTAAATGCATTTATTATTTACTGAATCTTCAAACTCAATCCTATCTGTAGATCCTTCACACCCAGGACTAGGGCACCACAGCCTCACCTCCAAAAGGACCTGACACTGCAGCTATTTCCTCCCAAGATCCTGTCTGCAAAGACAGCCAGTCAGCACTGGGCAAACACTGCTCAAGGTAAGTACAGTCACCATGCCCTAGGATCACCACACAGTCAGTCACTGAAATAACTCTACAATAACTAAAGCTACACCTTACTCCTTTGGGGAGAAGGTTTTAAAAGATCCATAACCTTAGTTCAAAGGAAGGAGTACTACCACAGAAGGAAAAAGAAATTTAAAAAGTGCTTTCAGTAGTATAAAGGATACATTGTGTGTGTGTGTGTGTGTGTTGTGTTTGCTTACTTTCTTGAAACCTTCACACACAAAGACATTCCAAAATATTAAATAAGTATGTATAAACTATATATAAATGTGTGTGTATATGTAAGCAACATATATACAGTGGTTGCTTAGCACTGTGTGAAGCTCTGCATTTCCTCCTCCGAACCATAAAGAAGTAAATAGGGGTTAATTTCCACACACACACACACACACACACACACACACACACACACACAAAATCCTTTCTTTCAGAGATAAACCTCATGTATATCAGTTCTTTTTGTCAAGGAACAGCCAGTATGCAAAGTCTAAGGAAGGACATCACTTCAAACCCCAGGTGAACCACCTGATTAAAAAATGCTAAGCATTGTACCCCACAGGATGTAAACACTCAGCCAAGGACATTTTTCCTCATCATGAAGGCCCCATGGTCATCATCTTTTTTTTCCAAGCAAATATAAGGCGGAGCTCACCTCAGCCACCGTGAGGACGCAGTACGCAGCCTGGTGCTCAGGGTCCACGCCCTCTAGCTTCATGCCCACTTTAAATCCGTTTTTGTTGTATGGGAAGGACTGGTGCTGAAATAGAAAGTGACAGCAGCTTTACCTCACCAACAGGACCAGCTCAAATCATGAACAATTAACCATTCATAAAGAGTCCTCAGGACTGGGGAACTGGCCTCCATGGCAAGCTTCCCTAGTGTGAACAAGGTCCTGCGCTCCTTCCCTACCTTCTCAAAGATGATTCGTAAATTAATAAACCACTAAAAAAAAAAAAAAAAAAAAAAATCCCCAAAGAAAAGGACTAGTGAGCAGTTAAGATGAAAAGACACAAAGAGGCAAAAGCCATAAAAAGGAATCTTTTACATGTTTGAAGGGACAGTCAACCTTGCCCGTCAGAATCACACAAGATATTATTTCCCATTGGACTGTGAAGACCCAAGAATGGGAGGCTCTGTGCCTAAGAGCGGAGACCCTGGCGGGAACACTACACAGAACTCTGCCTAATCACTAGCAATGTCAGTCCATCTACACACAGCTGATCCTTCTCTTGGCAACACTAACTCTAGGGAGTTATCTAGTAGACAGATTTCCACATATGCAACATGTCAAGTGTGGAACATCATCTAAAGCCTCCAGCAAAAAGACTTTTAAAAACATAGCTGTGTGTCACCCAATAGAGAATGAGTTAATTTTTTATGGAATAAATATAAGTTTAAAATATTGTGGCTTAGTATATTTAAAAAAAAAAAGATGAAGGGATCAATGACCTGAAATAAAATAATCTCCAAACTGTAAAATTAAAATGATAGTCTAACAAAGTACAGGTCCGCCATTACCACTGAGTGTTAAGACAGGGCAGAAAGGTACATAGCGTTCTAGGAAGGAAATACAAGAACTAGCAAAACTGGCCCCTTCAGCAGAGACAGATGCTGTATTTAGGGAAACAAAGCCATAGGGTCCTTCTTTATTGCCTTTTAATACTGACAATTTGAATCATACTATATATTATTCTTCAAGTACTTTTTAAAGATGTGAAAAGGTGGGATGGAAAGGCAGCTCAGCACGTAACAGCACGTGCTTCTCTTAAAGCGAATCCAATTTCCATCCCCAGGATCCAGAGGATCTTAGGCTCACTTCTGGCTTCTGCAGACTCATGTGCACATACCCTAACATATTACTAAAAATAAACCGCTTTTACAAAGTTAAGTTATTGGCAGGTGGATCTCAGAGTTTGAGGCCAGCCTGGTCTACAGAGTGAGTTCCAGGACAGCCAGGGCTACACAGAGAAACCCTGTCTCAGGGATGGGGAATGGGGCGGGGTGAAAGTCTACTCTGTAAAGAACTAAAGGTACAGAAAATAATTATCCAGAACAAGCCGTATTATGTTTGAACTAAAATTCTCAATGCTGATGCAGTCTCTCTAATTTTCACTACACTTCCATTTTGTTCATTCATAGCTAGAAGGATACTCAAAGAAGTGATTTACGTGGCAGGGCAGCAAAGTCCAGGCCAGGTGCCAAATCTTACCCACCAGAGCTTTGTAAGTAAGATTCTATTGGAGCACAGCCATCCCTGATGATTTACCTGTTGTCTATGGTTACCTTCATGCACATTATGGAAGAAGTTCTATCGTGGCAATAGACTCTAGATGCCCTTTACAAAGAAAATTCTTTCTTAGTCTAGGAGCAAGAAATCCTACACAGAAGTATACCTACTATCTACACTTTAAACTGATTTTAAATGATAGGATATTCTCATCAGAAATACTAGGTAAAGCATTTTAATAAGATGTATAACTCAATAACACATTCTTCATCCCTCATAATTAGACATAAAATGTGTCTACTAGTTTTTAGTAACAGTATTCCTATAATGCAGAATGAGGAAAGCCCAGTAAATGCTGAGGGGAAATTGTGAGCACATATGCATGGGTGTGCCCGGTGCTGTGAATGTTAATAAAAATATAGCTAATAACAGCTGCCTTGTGAGGGATCTTCCATATGCATACTCACAAAACAACATACCCAAGTCACACTTCTTCACAGATAATGGGAATGATGCTGTGAGCGCAGGCAATTGTCCTATCCCTTGCCTTTCCACACAGCACTTGCAGGAGGACTCTCACCTCTTTGAACAGCTTTGTGGGAACTGCCACAGCTTTCTCCTCCTCCAGGTAGGAAGCCCAGCACCAAGTTTTCTTGCCTTTAGGAGGCAAGCCTAAAAAACAACAAACCAAATGATAGGCTTTCCAAAGCTACGAAATCAATGAAATGTTCCAGGACATCTCTCTTTCGCAATCACTAGGATTGCTGGCTCTTCCCTTTCCATGCCTGGTCCCCCTTCCAGAGGAACAATAACTGGGAAGTGAACTGTGGTAAATATCCAGTTGATGAAACACAAGGGGACGAATTTAGCAAACATGTAAAATCCAGCAGGATGCCCAGAGGATCTACAGGAAGTAAATAAAATCTCACAGAAACAACATGTTCATGTGTGTTGTTTGTGCCTATGCCACGGAAGGCTGGGAATAGGATAATCCACTGAGTGCTTATCAAATATCTGCTAATCTTGGAAATGAAATAAAAACTGGTCTGGTGACAGGTATACTTATTAAGTACAAAAATGCATATGTGATAAAAATCAGAAGGCTCTGGATTAAATGTTACAGTGCTGGAACAGGGGAGGGATGTGCCAAGCTCACTCACTACTAGCAGCACCTGAAGCGCTTGTGAGTCCACTAGGAGCACATAACGAAAGGGAATTTGAACATTTATGAAAAAGAAATACTGACTGAAAGAGCAGGGTATACAGGAGCCACAGCTTCGGAATATCATTCTGAAAGTGTTTTAGGAGAAAAGGAGACAGAGGCTAAAGGAAGCGCAAACTCCATGCAGAGTGACTAAGAGATTTAATTTACTTCCCTTAGTCATATAAACCACCAACCAACGAAACAAACAGAAAGTTATCTTAAAGGGAATGGAAGTTCTGCTATGAGCTAGAGACAGCTGGAAATATTTCCAGCTCTTTCTGGGAGATTAATGGAATAAACAGCGAGGGGTGCCTCTGAGCATGGATGTTGGGTCGCTGGGTTCACAGTCCTGCCAGGGAAGAGTGTAAGCCTGCAGGTTGGTAGCTGGGCTGTATAGATCTCCACTGACCTCAAGCAAAGACCTGGCAGTGCAGAAGCATCAGTCTATGTGGAGTAAAGCTGAGAAGAGCTTATGTAGAAATGACTCGAGATCCAATCCCAGAAAGGAAAGGCCTAAAAAAATAGGATGGCCTGAGAGCTGGAGTTAATAAGATGTCGCTTTACAGAAAAGGGGAAGAGATGGGACCACACTAGGAGGATGTGCTTTGAGAGAGCACAATAGAATATGAAACATCTTGGGAAATGAGCAAGAACAGAGGTTATGGCAAAGGAGCAGAAGCAGAAACTACGGTCTTGATGGCTATACCAGTAAATAAAAGACAGTATTCCATATATATGTGGTAACAACTTGAAAGTTAGCTAACTTTCCTAAACTGCTTCCTCAAGCCTTGGGAGAAAACCATACCACAGAGAAACTCAAAGGATTCCCTGTAACCATGGAGAATGATAAAAGACCAAGCACTCCTGGGAAGCATTTTCAGGGCCACTGACTAGGCACACTTTTCCATCATCAGCTCACCCTGCTTTAAGACAGCTGAATCCCCGCGTCTTTTCCTTCTGGCTCTCTGAGAACCCCTCAGGATCCTTCCATCTTGTTTGTTCTCCTATAGCAAAAAAAGGAAAGTTTTGAATTTACAAGTTCATGAGGTTGGTCTCCAGGAAAACTTTAAGGTCTGTCAAAAAGGTTTTGCTATGGATCTTTGTTTCAGTTTCACTTCCTAACTCTGAAAGCAACACTATGGTCCATCTGAGACCACGTTGGGTTTAAACTGAGTCTGTGGAAGAGAGCGTTTGCAGTTGCTCTTTGGAAGAGCTCCCTCCTCCTTCAAACACAACCTGGTCTTAGCTCCAGGACTGTGCCTGCCTGCTCTCTGCAGACCTCACTGGTCCTTTTTGCAGGCTCCTGCTGATGTCCACACCCATCCAACCTCTGCGCCTCTCTACTCCTGAGGTCTTAAGGTTATTTCTGTATGTGAGAAGGTGTAGGAACGACATGAAGGGCTACTGAGCTCAGAGGACGGCCATGTCAGTCCTCAAGCTCTTTCCACCTTCCTGTGAGCCAGGATGTCCTAATGGCTGGCACGTCAGGCCAATGAGCTCCTGGAATCCTTCGGCCTCCACAGCCTCAGCACCAGGATCAGAAGCAGGAGTTCCCATACCTAGCTTATTATACAGGTCCTGGAAATCAAAACGTGGGTCCTTATACTCACAGGGCAAGTGCTTTACTGACAACCATCCCCTCATCCCTCGAGGTCATCTCTACCCTAAATAACCTCACTCTCTGTCTCTAGCTGCCTTTTCCTGACTTCATGTTTCTGGCTGGCTGGCTAACATTTTGAGCTGTGTAGGTACCAAGCACAACAAATTCTATACCTCCCCACGGCCTGCTGAGCCTCTTCTCCACCCACCCTTGCCTTCACATTCAGGGCATTTGTTCAATCCAGAAATCTACAATTCATCGTCCCTTGTCCTTCCTATATATCCTCAGAACCCTACCTAACCCTAACAAAGTCATCCAATCTAGTCTCACATGACCCTCTACCATGTGAGAGCTATCACACTGCAAGAATATCCAACTGCTTTTCCTGACTCTACCCTTGCTTACCCGGGTCAAACTTGGTTATGCCAAACCAAACCAAACACAGCATCCCCTTGCCTTTAACTTCCCAGCGTCTTCCCATTATACTCAGGAAGCCATAAAGTTGCCCTGATACAATCACGCTAACGTCAGCTTCTTCATTCCGCTCTGCCCTAATCCTCTATGCACCTCCGGATGCCCCTCCTACATAATGTGTTATAGCTGTGCTCACTTTGGGTAGTCTCCCTTAGATGTTGAGCCTTACAGAGTGCTAAATGCACATAGCTGGCTCCTCCTTACTAGTCACATCTCAGGGTCCCTGTCTTTCTTGGAGCCCTCCCCTAATAGCCAACTTAAGCTAGTCAGCCAATCCTAATGCTCGACGTTATATGCCAACAAAGCACTATTGCTTATCATGCCTCCTTAGCCAGAGCACCATGTCGTCAGGAAGAAGGACCTTATTCCTGCTATATGTCTGACTCCTCCGTATTGCATGCCCATTGAATAGTGATATGGAACCTCCTGATAGAAATGATCTCTGAACTAGCAATCTCTAACTCCAGCAACTGACTCCAGAACAGATGTGGTGGCCAGCGGCAGCCCAAGATGCCTGCCCATGCCTCAGAACAGACACAGAAGGGCTACTAACCATTTCATCATCTCTCTCTTCTCCATCTTCCTTGGAGTCAGCCTTCAGAGACAATTTTGGTTTTTTCTTCCGACTACATTTAGGATCCTCCTCATCATTGTCTTCGCCTCCGTCCCGGTCTTCCTTCTGATCTCTGTTGTGGTTATAACCCCAAAACAGTGACAGGAAGCAATACCTATCAAATAGCTACATGTGGACTATTGATGCAAAAATTGTTTTAAAAAATTGCTCTCCAGAGGAAATATTTAATTACCAAGAGAGGTCTGCAGGTATTAGCATACCATGCATATAGGAAACATTAAATCATGGTTCATAGATCTGTCTGCATGCATAAAACTGGAAATTGTTTTATATATTAATTTCAAAAGGGAACTAGCATTATATATGACATGGATCCGAATGAGTTTATAAATACTTGTCTACCACAATAATAAAAGAATCAATTATTTACAGATATATGTTTCCAAGGCAACTAGAAACCAAAGTCCTAGCAATTTTAAGATTGGCAGATCCAGTAGAAAAGACCAATGGTAAATCAGTAAAGAATCAGTTTGCTAATACAAAACAATCAACCATTTCTATATTGATTAGAATATGTGAGAATTTCCACTGAAATATAAAAGCCAAGGGACTGAAGAGATGGTTCCATGGCTAAGAGCAATGGCTGCTCTTCCAGAGGACCCGGGTTCAATTCCTAGCACCACACAGTAGCTCATAACTGTCTATAACTACAGTTCCAGGGGACCCGAAGACCCCTTTTGGCTTCTGAGGCATATATGTGGTACATACATATACATGTAGGCAAATATCCATATAAATAAGTTTTTAAAAATTAAACTACATTAAAAAATAAATGTCATTTATTTTGTCCTATACTATTGCATACAAGAAACACATCTTTTTGGTCATAAGAGGCACTTTGTTACATAGTCCTCGGATGGGTTGGTGGCACAGCACTTACTGGATGTCCTCTGAAGCCATTCTATGAGGACTTACTAGATTACCTCTAGTGTATATTTCCAAGGAATTGACTGCCTGCCCATCATATCAAGGGTACCTTCATTCTCTGTGTGGTATTTCAACAGACTCCAAAAATATAAACAAGTGTGTTATGAATATCAGCATCATCTAACTGTGTACATAGGTCAGAAATACCTATGCACTCTTCGTTGGAAACAATTCAATTAACGGTAACAGTGGCCAACCACAGAGACAGGACATCACTGCTATAATGGGCCAGGTGTAAGAGAAGGCACTAACTACATCCAATGCAGGGGTCCAGGACCTAATGTTACTGGAGAGAAAGTCTACAAAACAGGTTTGAGGGGGAAACAGATGTCCTATGGCACACAGTCTCCTCAGATACTACAGCCTTGAAGCCTCTGACCCACTTCAGAGATGAAAGAGAAAGGGACCTACTTGTCTTTGGCATGCCGAGCACAATTCTGGCTGCAATGTTTTCCTCCAGAAAGACGCTCCTCTCCGTTGCCATACTGACAACAGTTCTCACAAAACTGAAGCCCATCTGCTTTCGATTGCTCCTTCAGCCTGAAGGATACCCCAGTCTTCTCTGAAAAGACTAGAAGATGAAAAGAAGAAAAAAAAAATATTAAAGCCATGCCAGAAGGCACCCCAAAGTAGATTTAAACTTTCTCTTCTACTACTTTGGTTAGCAACACAGTAAAGAATAATGTTTGTTGAATGAATCAATGATTGAACTATAAAGTTGGGGGTGGGGCTAAGTTTGGCAGGAATCGATTGAATCACTTATACTAAATAAAAAAAGGAAAAAAGAAAAGAAAAAACAAAAGAAAAAACAAAAGAAAAACAAATCTTGAAAAAGGGCCAGGTGTGGAGGCTTTCACATTTAAGCCCACCCTGTGGGAAAGCAGGAGCAGGCTTGCTTCTGAGGCTTGCTTGGCCTACATAATGAAACCTATCTCAACAGTAACAAATCTCCAGAAAGCATAAACATGAGACCTTGGCTTTCTCTACAAAGTTCAAAATAGAATAAAAAGAACTGGAATTAGTTACTGGCTTTACCATGGTACTATTGGTCTAAAAGTTCCAATCAATGCATCAGTCTTGGAGAAAGCTAAAATGGTCACGTGTGTTACTTCATGTTTACAACATTTTGTTGAGTGATTTTTACTTAGTTGACTAAATTAACACATGTAACTTTAATGTAATTAATCTCCTGGATCAGAATTATCCAAATCATTTAGGACGTCACATTTCCTTCTGCCTGAGTCATTCAGCAAACATTTATTAGTCACCAATTTATACTGGACACTGATTATGTCAGTACGGACCTCGTCCAAGACAGCTCACAGGCTAGAAGAGAAGCCACACAAGAAACCCAGTGCTTAGGATCATGTGGATGCATGCAGCCATAGAAGTGCAAGTGAGTTCTAGAACTGCAGAGAAAGAAGTGGTTCACTCAGACAGGAGTCAAGTCGGGAAAGAGTTTCTGACACAGCACCTCAACAGGGTTTTTAAGGCCAAAGAAAATTAGACCAAGAAGAAAATGGCATCTAAGTCAAAAACAAAGCAAAACAAAACAAAAAACAAACAAACAAACAAACAAACCAACAAACAAACTAAACCCAGCATGAACAAAGGCAGGGAAGCAGAAACCACAGGATGACCTGGAACAGTGACATACAGGTCCATACTGCTTGCAGGGCCAGAGCACAAGACCCAGAGAAGGTGACAGAGTTGGGAGACAGAGCAAGCAGGTGGGTGCAAGCCGGTCTTTGAAGGCTTTGCTAGGTTGGCAAAGGCAAGGAGAAATGAACGAAGTAGCAGGTGAGCAGTCTACACAAGTTCCACTGACTTCAGGGTGCAGGATAAATCGGGGAGGAATGAGTTAGAAGCGGTGATTATTTAAGAGCCTTCTGTGATAGTTTCAGTGAGGGTTAGAGGCCTAAAGTAAGGGCAGTTGCGGTGGTAACAGGAAAAGCCAGATCTGAGATGGGTTTAGGGGATAAAAACCGAGTGCATTAGGGAACAGAGAATGGGAGGAACAAATTCGGAATGACTCCTCGATTTCTTGATTAGGCACCAGGTAGATGGCGCTACTGTCAGCTGAAACATGGGTTACAGAGGAAAGAGCAGGTTTAGGGAAAGGGAGAAAGAAAAAGAAAATAAATTGCATTTCAGACATGTGGAGTTTGAGGTACCTGTGGGACATCCAGGTGGAGATGTCCAGTAGGCAGGTGGAAATACGGGCCTGGAGCTCGGGGGAGAGGTCGGGGCTGGAGACAGATCGGAGTCATCAGCACATATGTGTAACTTACAACCATCGGAGTAGAAAAAAATAAAGTGCCAGGCTTTTTGGCTGAATCACCTAGGAAGGCCATTAGCAACTTGGGTTTACTTGATAATTTTTAACTAACCTTGTGCTATTACAGATCTGGCATTAGAAATGAGGCAGTTTATAATTATTTTAGAATATAAAGGTTGGCTCCTGTCTGTTTCACTACAAAAATTTATGTAGGGACATGAGACACAGAAGTAACCCAGGGCTTTCAAAGTCTGGCCTCCTATAAAAGTCTGGTTTCAAAGCACTCAATAAGAAGCCGGAAGCAGATGATGGCGGCCTTACCGTCCTGAGCAGTTGGGACCATCCACGTGGTAGTGGCTGTTGCTTTCTTGACACTTTCCATCTCACTTTCGTCTGTGATAACTTCCAAAGCTCCAAACTCATTTACCCGAAACTGGCAAGAATATGGAGGAGAAAAGCAGAAATTTATAAGGATACTCCTGGGGGTGTTATTTATTTCACTGCCAACACAAAGACACAATGACGTTAAGCAAACTAAGCACATACTAAGAATGGAACAATTCTATCTTGGATGAGCTTTTTAATAACAATAAGCCCTTCTGTTTTATAAATTTGGGGCTGAGAGGGATTAGAGGGAAGCAGTAGGTGTCCCTACAGCCATGCATGTAGAAAGTGGCACCTCAGATACATTTTTACTACGACTTTTATTTATTTAATACTATTATTTATTTAGCAAAGCTACTAAAGGGAAATTCTCCCCACCCCTTAGGAATTGACTCATCTCAGTAAAGCAGACAAAGTTTAAAGGGAAGGACATAATGGCCCATCACCGTTTTCCTTGTAATCCAAGATGAAAATATATAAGCTACACCCTCCTCAACAACACACTTGCATTTTCTTTTATCACTCTCAAAAATTCTCCACCAACTTTAGCTCCAGTTTTCCCAAGCAACTGGGAGATAACGGAGAAATAACCGTAAGAACTGAACAAGTCTACCGTATGCCAGCAGGTCACTAAAGAGGAAGGTCACTCCCATGTCTTGGAGTTCTTATTCCTGATCCTGCAAGCTTCCTCTCACCCCATGGTAGCAGCATGTAAAGCAAGTTTCTGCACCAACTGGTTTCTATTTGTGTAGAAGGCTTAATCGCTGCTATTGTACCATGGCAGGGACTGTTCTCTCTGACTCAAGAATTCATGGATCTAAATGTTTTCTTCTCTCATTATAGTTTCCATAAAATAGAATAGCAATCAGGATTCACGGGTGTTAGCAGGAGATATATATATGTATATAGATATACATATATCTTCCATACTCATTGTATACAATCATTAAATACTTTCTAGATGGAACAAATTGAAATGGTTTAGGAATGTAAGAATGTTTTCTCTCTATTGTGTATTCTGGATACAAATTCACAGGCAAAGTGTATAGCATAAGTAGTGTCCATGTCAGTTCAGAAAATAGTAAAAGTAATTTCATGGACAAGAAGTAAAAATAATTTTTAAAAAAAGAAAACTTAAAAAGTTCAAAAAAAAAAAAAACACCTCAACTAGCAACTCTTCAAAGTAAGGCTGATAGTACCATCTACTGGGCAAGAGTAGATAAAACAAGCCACCACAATCATTATTTAATGATATTAAAGAAAGCGATACAAAAATCAATTCTGAGTCAGATTTTTTTGTAAATAGGCACAAACAACAATTCACCAAGAAGGGTAATTTTTCTTTCATTACCTGCAATCTACACTAATGTATTCTTACTTGACAAGTGCGAGATGTGAGAAATAGCACTGGACATTTAGAGTAGACAGAAAGGATCCTAATGGCTAAGCTGCAAACCACCCTGCATTGTAAACACCCAAGAAAGGACACCAGACCAGATCTCTGGTTGGAAAGTGCAGGTCTGACACTTGGAAGGGTTTAGCTTAAATACTCTTGAAGTTAAAAGGTAATAATATCTCTACGAACACACTTAACCTTAGCCATCTTCTCCTCTGCTAACAGTAACGCCATAATTGACAGTCTAAATACGAAGCAGACATGCAATGTCACTTGGGGACACAGCCCTAAGCTGGAGAGCAAGGATGGACGCCAAGGGCTGATGCATGAAACAGGCGTGAGATGAAGAAGCTACGTGCACACTTACAGGTCTAGGATCCACAGGGCTTCATCATCCCCTCAAAGGCACCCTAAACTTAGACAACATCTGCTCTTCCTACGATTCCTCAGCTCAGGGATCAAACCCTCAAAGTATGTTGACTCTATGCAAAAAGACAGAAAGATTGAATTTTCTGGTGGCATTCTCCTTTTGGATTTTGGAAATGCTGATATAACCGGCTATCCAATGACAGGATTCCAGAAAGACTGATACATTTCCTTTTACTTCCCTAATTAAACTCCTGGGTTCTCAAAGTTTTTATGAAGGCTTTGGAGTAATATATATTTTTTCAAGTGCTCCACCCTCCGACTGAAAATATCAAATTATAAACTTTTACAAAAGTAATTCATTAAGTAAGACAAAGAAAAGGTTGGCATGGCAGTTTATTCTACATATGAATACATCCAGGTCAGTAATTAAGGAATTACGCCTCAGATATCTGCTCGGTGGCAAGGTTTTACTTATCTGACTTGCCCTGAGTCATCTTTGTTGACTCTGTTCTTTATTTTTCCTTGTAGGGGCAAAAGCCCTTGTCCTTCTTTCAGGGTCTCTTTAATATTAGACACTAAAAGAAACTATCAAGGTTCTGATTTCCATTTTATTACTTTTGATGTTGAAAAAAAACCTAAATCCCAATTACAAATGTGTTTTAAGGGCAAAGATGTTTGGTCACTAAACTGTATTCAACATTGAGAAGCAAACGGAGGAGGCAACATTTGGAATGTAAATAAATAAAATAACTTAATAAATTTAAAAAAAGAAAGAAAAGTGGGGGCCCAGAAAATCAAAACCCCTCAGGGGCTTGAACACAGAACACTCCAGGAACTCAAACTTGGCTATGAAGGACTATGGCAACTGCTCAGAAAGTATAGCCAGACAAATGCAGTTCGGTTAGTCAGAACCATGAGGCTGTTGAAAAGGAAAGTTCATCAATTAGCCAGAACCATAAGGCTGTTAACAAGGAAAGTTCTTTCATGATGGAAAAATCTACAGAATGTAAAACCAATTCCCACAATGGGAAGGTGACCTCTGAGTGAGAGGCCAGGCTGCATCAGCTGGACAACTTCAGTAGGAAGACTTGGGTACCAACTGTTAGGATATGTACACACTTCTAAATACACAAACCATTGAAGAGCAGCCTGGGGGTTGTGAGGAAACCAGCATGATATGAGGAAGCAGATTTTATGAATTATTTAAGATGTCAACATTTTGTTTTAGTAAAAAACTAATTGTTTGACACTTAAACAACCAAGATTTTGATGTATAAAGTCTTACATAACATAGTCAGTGAGATGGTGTATCACAAAGTTTTTCTTGAGGAGCTGCAACACATGTCTACTCAACCATGACAGGGAGCCCATGACAGACCAAGGTACAGATACTACCACAGTTCAACTTGGTGAACAAATTTATTTATTGGGGTTACTTACAGGAGCAAAAAAAGACTTAAAGACAGTTGAATCACCAAAGCCCACCCCATCAAAGGTGAGAGCTCATAAAGCTGGGAACTGGAGCCCAGAATAGAGCCTGCAAGTAACTCAACGGGTTGGAAAGGGTCCTCTCCAAATGACTCAGTTGGTCTAAACTGCTTCCAGGCAGCTCAGCTCAAATGGGAGTCACAGCCTGACACTTCTCTTCTGAGGGACATTCTCAGCTTTTACTGATTACTCTGGAAGGGAGGGGCCTGGTGAATCTGTTCAGTTTCAGGGACTTCCTGAAGTTATTTTGTGTTGTTTACCTTCCTCCTTAAGGAGCACAGTGAACTGTTTAAATCTCAGAGGAAACTGTTAGGACACACACATCTAAACACACAAACCATTAAAGAGCAGCAGCCTGGCCGTTGTTCTTTACACAACAGATAGGCTATGAATCTCAAATTAAAAGGGTTATAAATAATATATTTTGTAAGTGACACAGGAAGAGAAAGAGGTATGTGTGAGTGTTATATATACACTTATGTTGATACACACACCATCCATACAATACAGAAGCCAAATAAATGTCTGTGTTCTGTCTGTCACCTTCAACCTTATTATTTCATTGAGAAAAGTCCTCTATGTAAACCTAAAATTAGGCAGGTGGCCAAAACATTTCAGAAAGCCTCCTGCCTCCGATCCTCTCCCACAACTGGCTGCTTTGTACATGGGTGCTGTGGGTTCAGACTTGATTACTCTGTGCCTTTCCTCTACTCTTCAAATTACTAAAGTAAGGTATCCAACTGTCTACCACCCATAAGTAGATTGGACACATGGCAATTACCCCATAATTACATGAGTGTAAAAGTCATATCTAACAAGTCTGGTACTAAAACCCTAAATGACTTAATTGCCTTATTATCTTAATAAAAGTAATAGGTTAATTTCTAAAATCCATTGCTTAGAAAATTTTAAAGCAATCTAGATTTCTTAGGAATGGAAACTCCCCATTTACCAAAGGCTAACTAAAAGAAAGTTATTTCATTGTGTACCTAACATGTAAAAAGCATAAATCCACAAGAATAATATGCATACAAGATAACAGAAAAAGACAATTTTCATAATATAGTCAGAGAATACACAACTTGTATTTGTTCGCAGTCTTTAGTCAACTGTCTTTGCCATTTTACAGCTGTGAGTGTAATGATTCTATTGACCCCCATTTTTCAAAAAAAGCTTATAACATGTAAGGATTTTAAAGACTCATCCATAGGCTTTACTTTATTATTAACTACATGTATGTGACGAGGATGAGGGTAGGGGTTGTGAGTGCAAGAACCCTTAGAGTCCAGAAGTTCCCCCGGAACTGGCTTTACAGGCAGTTGTGAGCTGCCCAGCCACAGTTCCCTGGAAAAGCAGAACATGGTCTGAACTGCTGAACTACCTCAGCAGTCCCTGACATTGAGCAACTGGACAAAGTTCACATGCTAATGTATGACTGATATTATTGGAGCTGGAGAAATAATTTTTTTCCATATAAACGATTCCAGTTGTCTATGCCCACCACAGGTCACTCAGGTGACACCTGGACAATTTCAGAATGGCTTGATACCCATTTGCTCTTGTATTTACTTCCTTTACTGCAGAGCTATCATGACCCAGAAGAATTAACTGATTCCATAACTTCTCATCACACAAAACCAAAACTGGAAAGTTCTTCTCTTTAATAATTCTGAGTGGATATGAAATGTGTGTGCATACTTATGAGTACCATATGCTATTCTACAATATATTACATATTCCACAATATGTAATGTTTAGATGAGGGAATTAGCATTCCAACCTCCTCATACATTCCTATTTCTATGTGCTATTAACCTTTGCAATCTTCTTTTTTAGTTATTTTAAAGTAGATCACATAATACTTTAGACTCCAGTTACACTACGGTATAAAGGACTGCCAGAATTTAGCGGCTCTATCTTTATGTTGGTACCCATTTAAAAACAGTATCCAGGTTTCCCTAAACCTTACTGTAATAGTTTTGTTTCTTTAATCTCATACACTGGCACTTTGGCTCAATTAAACCTAAGCCAACCAAAATCTCAAACATTTTTCCAACGGCAGGCAGATATTTAAATTGTACCCTTGAGGATCAGTGAGGGCAGGGACTGGGCTAAGGTATTTGTCAGGCAGCCATCAAAAGGATTAGATTTCAAGAAGCCTAAGTTAGGGGCAAAATTTTTCTATTTGAGGCAGCAGCACAGAGAAACAAGTCTTATAGAGATAGGCCAAGTGACAGCCTGTTACACATACAGGAAATTCAAACATCTGAGAGACTGAGTACAAACACAAAGTCTAAAAGGCCATAGGCCACAGACAGGTTCAAGGTCCCAGAGATAGGATCAGAGCAAACCACATAAGAAATGAGAAGCGGGGGCAGGTGGGAGCTTGCACAACTGTGTTCCATGGAGCAGCAGAGGTGGTCCTGATGTAGGCTCAGTAGAGCAGGAGAAGCCACGTGGTAGGCTACCACATATACAGTGGGCAGGCTGAACTCCACGATAGTAAAGACACATGGTGGCCCAGCACATGTACAGTGGGCAGGCTAACATATATATAGTGGGCAGACTGACCCATGAAGAGTAGAAACACACAGTTGGCTAGCACATATACAGTGGGCAGGCTAGCACATACACACACAGTGGGCAGACTGACCCATGAAGTGTGCCCTTCACATAAGATCACAAGAAGAGTGTGCTGGTGAACAAGTGATTACACAAAATCCATATTAATAATATAAATAATTGAAAGGCAGTGAATAGTTTTATTGATTCAAATTTTTCATATTATTTTATCCAGCTTCTATATAAGGACACTAAGACCCAGGGAATGTGGTTATCCACTCAAAACTACAATGTCATTACTAAAATATCCAAAAAGTTAGACTTTCTAGGTCTGACACTGCCAAATATATTGGCTATCATCATAATACAATCAAAACAGATAGATGATCCTCCTCAAAGCTCTTGATGATTTCTTCAAACTAAGAACATACTAAAATATTCTTCAGACCCCCAACCCAAGGGATAAAAGCTGGCAATCCATCAGTATTACAAGTTATCTTACAAATTTACTACAAAATACTACATACTATATGAAGCCAGAACACTATATTTAATGCTTTGAATTTTTGTTTCATGTATATACTCATTGTAAAATAAGCTGACTGTAGATACACACAATCTGTAAATAACTTATGTACTTATTTATACTTTTATTATACATAACATATATATGTATATATGTATATATACATATATATGTGTGATAAAGAAAGCCTACCTTTAGATCACTTCCTGGTAGGGTACCAACTCCGTCTTTCCAGTCCATAACACTGAACACATCAAACTCTTGACCACTTGTGCTAGATGCAGATTCAGTCATGATTTAGTTTGTAACCTGGAAGAGGGGATAGAAAGTATAAATACTTCACATGTACACTGATTTAGTTATTGTTATCACTTCTGTTTCCTTCCTTGACTTTCTTCATTTTCTTGATTCACCCATCTAAAAACAACCGCTCCAAAGTATCATGAATGGGGCTGAGGATAGAGAGCCCTGGTAGAGCACTTGCTTAGCAGGCATGAGCTCTCCAATCCCTATATTACATTTCTGTTTTATTTTGCGGTGCCGGAAATTGCAGCCAGAGCTAAGAGAAGCATGCACTCTACCACCGAGCTATACCACCAGCTCTATACAACTTTTTTCCCTGAGCATACATACCTACAATAAAATCTAATTTATAAAGTAAACACTGTAAAAGGCTAAGAACAACAACAGCTATCAAAGACTCAGCATATGATTTTCTTTCCTTATTAAGGTGAGAATTTCCACCTTGTCGTTTAAACAATTAATGGTCTGTTTGGCATACTCAAGTCACCAACAGTGTTGCTAGTGCAGCTGGGCCAAGGTGAGGTAAAATGAGGTTTACTTGAATATAAGCGTTGTGAACTTGGACAGTCAATCTGATAACTGAGAAGACAGTCATCAAGTACCTAACGGTCGGGGAAGGGGGAGGCTGTGTGTACACTATGCACTCACTGGATCAGAAGGTGACTCATTCCTAAGCATAGTGGAGTAGGACTACTCTGAGACCTCATGCTACTCAGGACAACTTTAAAACTCATGGATTGCTTCTGGACGGTTCCATTTAATATTTTTGATCAGACACCGACCTCAAGTAACTCAGCCCTCTGCGAACTATAAAGTCAGAAAGTGAATCAAAGATAAGGGAACTACTAAATAAAATGTAGATTTAAAAGATACCATTTTGATAGTACAAAATAAAGGGGAAATTGAGTCCGTTATTCTGTCTTACTCTGTTTTATTAGTCTATATTAATCTACCAATTATATGTCTGACTTACTAATACAGCAAATGTAAATGTGATTCTTCAGAAAGAAATCAAGTTTGTTTGACCCAGTTGAAACATCAACTACAATACCAACAAGCCTCCCAACAGCCAAGACTTTGCCAAGGACGCGGAAAAGTAGTGATAGAAATGAGAACGAATCTTAAAACACTCAATGAGATATGACAACAGTTGGAAGATTTACACAGTTCATTGGAAAAATGTTCTCCAAATGACTAAGGTATAGCATTACAACACTAAGCCCAGGAGGGATTGGCTCCAACTCTCAGAAGAAGTTCTAACAGAGGGTGAAACCTCAGTCACCAGGTTTCAAACTGCACTCCAACCCACCTTTAGTAGAGTTTTGCAGTGACATTAAAGATTTCCACTATTACTGAAAGAGAAACAAAGTATTCCTCTCTTCTCCAACCCTGTATTTACGTAAAGCCAGACTTTCTTCATATACTTCAGCCAAAACAACAGCCTGGAAAAGGCAGGTGTAGCGGTAAGAATCCAGCTATCTCCCATAAAGTCAGGCACTAGAAAGGTTTGCCCAAGTACAAAACTACACCAACTTGTCTCATTTATTACTACTATGATTATATAATTGCTACCTTTCATAAAAGTTATGTTTATGTATATTATCATACGGTAAGTTTACTATCATTATTTTTAAGTAAGTAATCAAACAACCTATTTTAATACAGTTAAGTATCGATATGCATAGGATACTAGAAAAAAAAATAACTACTTGAGTTTTCAATCATTAAGGAGGTTTGAGACCAAAAAGATTGAAAGTTGCTGCTGTTCAGAATAATAATTTGCATCCCCCATAAAGAAATATGGAGGAGTTCACAAGCAGTGAGTTGACCATGAAACTTAGATGTAAGCACGTTTACAAGACATGGTACCCAATCACAAGACAACAACTCATGAATGGCAAATTATTAAGAAAAACATTACTGGACAGAATATCAGAGGAATACTGCTATTCTTTTTTAAAGGTGGATGACGGACAATAATACCTATTTTTATTTTCTTCATATTTTATGGCTATTTATTGTATGTATCTATTGAGGCACATGCATGCCACTGTGCATGTATGGAGGTAACTTGCAGGGACTCAGGTCTCTTCCTTTATCACGTGGGTTCTGAGGGTTGACCTCAGAACTGAGACACTACTGGCCCATTTTTTATTTTGTCAAGAGACAGAGTCCCACAACTATCCTGGCCTCAAACTCATGACCCTTATGTCTCTACTTCCTATGTGCTCGGATTACAGGGACATGCCACCACACTAGGGAGTATGGGTTGTTTTTTTTTTAATGGGAAGTTCTTTTTATATTTTAGTGATACAAACAAAAATGGACAAGTGAAAAGGCATATGAGAAATTTGTCTTCAACCAATCAAGGAAATCAAGTGGCTAGATCAAACTAGCATTGTGCTGGGAACAGTCCAACCAGGGGTAAGGTCTTTGGTGAGTCATGGATGTTCTTGATTTTACATCTTCTCAAGTTGTTTTGTTTTTACTTTGGACAGAATACTATTGTGTAATATGCTATTCAAAACTTGGAATGAAGTTTAGGCTGGCCTTGATTTTATCCTCCTGCCTCAGCCTCCCAAATGATGAAATTACATGCTCATACGACCACGTCAGGCTCAAGACTTCACAAGTTAGTCTTTTAATATGTCCTATGCATTTCTAAATAGTTCGTAAAAACTCTGTGCTTCTTTGAATGAGAAACTTTCTTCCTTTGAGAATTTCCAGATGTGCCAATGTTCTTTCTCCCCCTCGTTGCTTTAAATAAAATATCAACCAAAAGACATTTCTCACTGTATGTAGTATCCATCACAAGGACCAGACCACACTATTACTAAGACTTAATCCTCAGAAAAAGAGAGGTGTGTGTGTGGCGGGGGGTGGGGGGATGGGGGGAAGGAGTATGTGAGAAAAATTGAAAATATTAAATGAATTAAGATGTTGTTTCTAGCCAGGCAGTGGTGGCGCACACCTTTAATCCCAGCACTTGGGAGGCAGAGGCAGGTGGATTTCTGAGTTCCAGGCCAGCCTGGTCTACAGAGTGAGTTCCAGGACAGCCAGGACTACACAGAGAAACCCTGTCTCAAAAAGACAAAACAAAAAATGTTGTTTCTATTGCTGTAGTAAACTACCATTACCAAAAACAACTCATGGAAGGTAGACTTTATTTTATCTTGCAACTCTCAAGTCACATATTGCTGAGGGAAATCTGGGTGGGAACCAAGGCAGGAAACCGAGGCAGAGATCTTGGAAGTAAGCTGCTTACTAGCTTACTCCTGTTTTCTTGAACCACCTAAGGATCACAGGCCCAGGGGAAATACTGCTCCCAGTGGTCTGGTCCCTCCAACCATCAATCATTAATCAAAAAAATGCCCTACAGATTGCCCTCTACAAGCAATCTGATAGAGGAGATTTCCTTGAGGTTCCTCTACTTGGGTATCTTTAACTTGTGTCAAGTTGACAATAAACAAGCCAGGACAGACCAGCACTTAAGTTGTGAATGAATCCTCCCTCATGAAATGGACTCAGATCTCAATGACTCTGGCAGTGCCATAGAAGAGTGGTGTTCCGATAGAACCTGATACCTCTGCTGGGTAAACAGTGAGTAACCAGGGCCTTCCTCTACCTAAAGCCAGGCAAGCACAAACTTTACAGGCCTAGAACTTGCTTCATCGGCTGGCACTCTCCAAATGTTCACTATATACTTTATGAAATGTGTGAATGTACTTCTGCTTTACACAGCGTTACAGAGTGAACTCAGCCTGTAAGGACCCATCAAAACTAATAAATACTCTTTCCATCCACCCCTTTTATGCTGAGGTCCACGGACATGTCCTCTGAGCTGTAGTGGACGTTCACTACACTGTCTTTCCCATCATCTCTGTTCGAAACCATTGGCTACTTTGTCACAGAAGTCTGAAGAGCTACAACAGATTAAGTGTTTTTTCACCCACCACCTACTAATCAGGAGCGACAGCAGGCAGCAACACTGTTAAGGAAAGCTACTTATTTTATGACACCCAAGTCTGTCTTGTTGAATTCTTCCCCTGTGTACATGGACACAAACACACAAAGGCCTTTACTTCTTGTTCCTGCCATATATGTCACAGGTCAGAAAGGTTTTAACTTTGTTTATTTCTTAACTATTACCTGATATTATTCTCTAATTCTATGTGTCAGGTAAACTATATCTACAAGGGACACACATACACACACATACACACACACACATACACACATACACACACATTCATGCACAAGAGCACAATACAAGCCACAGAAAAGCATATCACAGTGCACAATGACCTGAGCTACCAGGAAAGCTCCAGTATTTCTTCCCTAATCAGTCCTTTTTCATGCTTTCCAGCCACAAAAGATGTTAGATGGGACAGTTTGAGCATTCAGAGGGCCAACAAATATACCAGTAGAGCTTTTGATTCCCAGAAGTATATGTGACCTCATTGGCCATGGCTATTACCAAGGTCCCTGTTGCCCCAGCACTCCCCTGGCAGTGACTACTGTGGGTGCCTCATCAAGAAATTGATGGCATTTGCAGAAATAGGGGATGATTACTGCTGGTATCAATACAATGCTTTATACTCCCAAAGTCCCCTTTGTAGAGGACCCATTTCAACTTTTATTCACTTATATACAACCTTCTTGACCTAAGCTTCTTCAAAAAGGACAATTCAGCAAACAAAATGACATCGGACACTATCCTCAGAATTACCTCCCTCTCCTCTCTCTCTCTCTCTCTCTCTCTCTCCCCTCTCCTCCTCCTCCTCCTCCTTCTCCTCCTCCTCCTCCTTCTTCTTCTTCTCCTTCTTCTTCTCTTCCTCCTCTTCTTCCTCCTTCTCCTCTTCCTCCTCTTCCTCCTCCTCCTCCTCCTCCTCCTCCTCCTCCTCCTCCTCTTCCTCACTCTCCTTCTCTCCCACTTCCCTATCTCCAAACCAAAGCTATTCAACTTGACCCTCCCTTGATGGCATCTCCCTATTAAATGTGCCACC